GCGACTTTGTGGACACAGGCGTTGGTGATGAAGTTGTCGATGGCGCCAATATCAAGGAGGGCCCAAAACTTCACCGTCGATGCACTGAGGGAAACGGGAATGAACTTGAGTTGGAACTGTGCGGATCCGGCACAAGCAGAGGAAATCGTAGTGTTGAGGCGGTGTTGCTCGAGGCCTAGCCTAATATGCCGATCATGTCGGGCTCGTTCCTCAACAAGATCTGTGAAAGTGGTGGCAAATGGGTTAGGGAGGAGGGTGGAAGAACACGTGGCAGTGGAGGGTTCATCCGTCGGAATAGGGGACATCATCGGAAGGGGGGCAGGCGGAGTAGACTGCGACGCCTTGAGATTGTCCGGTGGGATGTGCGTCACAGGAGGATCGGTTGGCAGACGAATGGTCAATGCCAAATGAGCCATCGGTGGGACGGAGGACGTCACCGATGGGCAGGCCGACAGACGCGGTGTCGATGCCGGGTCGATGTCCTGGGGACTGTGTTCATGATGAGGAGGGATCCGCGCTTGCCGAGGGCGGTGATGCGGAGGTTGCGGGTCGAGTGGAGGTGGACTGGCGGGTGAATTGTGCGGCGTTGGGGCAATTGGTTTGTTGGTGCCCCAATTGGCGACAACGGAAGCAACCCCCTTTTGCTTGGAGGTAGGTGCGCTCCTCGGGGGTGAGTTTCTTGAGGCAGGAGGGTGGGGTAGATGAGGGTGGTCGAGAGCTTCGATCTCTGCATTCCATCCTCATGAATTGGACGACATTGAGTTCCTTGGAAGAGAGGGATGAAAAATCGAGTGAATCGGAAGATACGTCGGGGTCCAGTGTTGGAGGTGGTGTCCTCGGAGGCGATGTTGTGGAAGAAGCGAGGGCGGGAAGGGGCCAATGTAAGTGCGGTCTTGTAGGGGGAGAGGATGTGATCGAGATGGAGGGTACGAGTGAGGAGGTCGGCGAGGGTCATGGGGGGCTCGTGGACAAGGGCGGCCGCTAGGTCTTTGCGGCATACGCGCTTAACGCGGGGGATGAAGGCGAAGTTGCTGACGACATCAATGGGGATATGTTGGCGAAGTGAGCGGACGTATTGCACAAAACGGTCGGTCGAGCCGTTTTGTTGGAGCCGGCAGAATTGGTCGATATAGTCGTCGACCGTTTTCTGTGGGCGGAAGGTGGAGGTGATGAGGGTGGCCCACTCAAGGAAGGTGTGAGGCCGGAGACCGGAGTGGTGGTGATTAGACATTTCGGTGTACCACCAGCGAGCCCCGTTGTCCATAAATCGGCCGGCAGTGATGGGGAGCCAGTGGATGACGGGGATGCCGTGGAGGGAGAAGGCTTGTTGGAGTTTGGTGAGAAAGAGGAGGACATCCTCATGGGGTTGGTCCGAGAAGGTGGGGATTTCGTTGCCGCGGAATGATGGGGGATTTTGCCTTCTGTTATGATCCTGGTCATTCCCAAAGTGCAAATTCACAATGAAAGACAATGCCACCCAATTGCGAAAGAAATGAAAGCACTTGCAAAGAGATAGAGACCAGAGGAAAGAGAAAGAAGAAGAAGAAGAAAAAGATGAAGATGTACACCGGCAAGACCAATGACAATTCCCCCTTCTCTCTCCACCTTCCTCCTCCTCCTTCACTTCGCCAATCTTATTCTTCTCCCAATAATAATAATAACAACGAGTGGATGAACCAGAATCAATATCCGAAGTTCCCTCTTACTACTGACTCAACAACAACAAGAACAACAAGTCCACCATAGTTATGGCTTCCCTCCTTCTGCCTCCTCTCACATGCATAGACTATGGCGGACTACTGAGGGCCCTGCCCTCCTGTCCAAAGGACAACCCAAAGCCGCTAAGCTGTTGTTGACTGGTCCGCCATGCCAAGCTCTGCCTCGCGCTTCCTTGGTGCGGCACTACCCCAACTGGGGCCTTCCAGATGCAGCGCCCAACAAGGTGATGAAGATGGTGTCCACCATAGCCAAGTAGGTGCCTCACCACTCTCCTCCTTTGCCCCCTTCTTCCTCCTCCTCAGGCTGGGTTGCTCGCCATAGCCAGGCTGAGCGCCCAGGCTGCCCTTCACCTCCAGGTAGCGCTGTATCAGCCCAGCGCTCCGCTCAGCAGCATGTTGCCAATCTTGGCATACCGCAAATGAGGAGGAGCTACTTGCTCCTCCGGAAGATATAGCGGCCTACTGGCCTCTTGGGCGGTGACTTCCTAGGCCGAGCGGCCTCCCAGCAACCGGTACCTCCTTCCTTTCGGAGGGAAACATCATTGCATGCTCTGCTATCCTCCGGACAGGCCCTAGACCCGGGCTACTTGGACTGGTACCGGCCTACCTCTAGCCTACCGCTACTGGGCGTCTAAAAATGCCAACTTTTTGTCTTCTTCTGCTCGGCCTCCAGTACCCGACGCTTCTACCACTACTTCAGTGGTACCAGCCTACCTGCTACTTGAGTGTTTTTCCACTCTGCTCTAAGTGTCCCGGGCCTACCCCCGCTACTCGAGTGTTTTCCCCCCTGCAACCCTCAAAGTCACGGGCACAGGTAAGTACCGGCCCTGCGGGGCCTTTCAACCAACAAGTACCCTTGCGGGTCACACACACACTCAACCGGCGAGCACTCGGACAGGCATGCAAACCAGCAGGCACGCACACACACACAGACATGGAAATCACAGCAGAATGCGGGAATCTCAGCAAGGCATTTATTCCAGCGGCAAACCCCACGTATATGTGTGAGCTTTACGCCTTGTGCGAGACACTCACACATTGGAAGCACTACCTCTTGGGTTGCCACTTCAAGGTCTACTCAGATCATCAGACCTTGCAATGGATTAAGACGCAAACTCATCTCTCTCCAACGCTGCCCCGTTGGCTGCATGACATTGATGTTTACAACTTTGAACTGAAACACAAGAAAGACTGTTATAACCGTGTTGCTGATGCTTTGTCGCGCCATCCTGAGTTTTTGACTTGCCTTGTGGACTCGTATGACCTCCGAAGGAAACTGAAGGAGGATCTTGTCGAACACACTGCCAAGGATCTGGACCTTAGTCCCATCCTTGAGCAGCTCAAGGCTGACCCTAGTAGTCAGCCCGAATTTCACAAGTGTGAGGATCTTGTATTCCGTCGGTATGGGAAGTTTGATCGTTTGTGTGTACCCAACCATGCGCCTCTCCGGACTCATTTCTTGGATTTGACACATGGTCGGAGTGGACACTTCGGCTTTGAGAAGACTTATGGAAGTCTTTTACAGCAGTTGGATTGGTCGGGAATGAAGGGATCTGCTCAAAAATTTACTGTTGAATGTCAAGTCTGTCAAAGAACCAAGGTCCATAGGCATAAGCCTTATGGCCTGTTGAAACCCCTCCCAATTCCTGATGGGCCCGGTGAATCGGTCTCTATCGATTTCACGGACATGGGGAAGGTGAGTGAGCGAGGACATTCACAAGTCATGGTTGCAAATTTCTGAACTCGATTCCTCTACCTCCTCATGCACCAACTGAGCGTGTGATCGAAGACTTTCACCAGCAGTACATTCTGCAGTATGGACCCCCGAAAACTCTTGTGAGTGATCGGGACACCAGGTACATTAGTGCTGATTGGAAGGACTTCACCTCACAGATCTATGACATTAAACTCAACAAGACTTCTGGTCGACACCCCGAAGCCAATGGATTGGCTGAGGAAATCAACCAAACTGTCATTCAACTGCTTCGCGCGCTAATTGTTCCAGATCAGAACACGTGGGACAAGGAGTTACACAACGTGAAAGGGTTGTACAACAACTCCATTCACTTTGCAACTGGCGGAACACCGAATCAGCTGCAATATGGTTGGCAGCTGCGGATCCTCTCTCCTATTTGTTCCCCGAATGGTCCCCTGGTCTGACGCCCGGCATGCCTGGCTACAATGCCAAGTACGCCCGCCATGCAGATAGCATGGGACCGGTCCGGACTGTCCGGTGTCCGGTGATGTCCGGTGTCCGGTGATGTCCGGATCACCGGACAGTCCGGGCCGGTCCAGACACTGGTCCAGAAGACAGTCCGGAAGTGTCCGGTGTCCGGGTCCGGGGTAACCATGCAAAAAATACAACTGTCCCCCATATGAGGAGAAGACAGCTGTATTTCTTTTTTTCTTTCAAAAAATAAAAATAAAAATCTACATTCGTCCCTCCCCACTCTTGAATTTCCCTAAGTCCAGTCCATCATCAACTACAGCCCTAACAATGAAACAACACCTATTCTACGTTCTACACCTCCCCGAACACATAAACACAGCACGAGAACAGAGTCAGCACACGGACACAATCTCAGACTCGGCACCCATCAGATAGGCTCTCAGACAAACGCAACACAGCAAAACAGACTCAGACTCGAAAATCAGACGAAACCATGGAAAGCACAGACATCTCAGAGACTGCGGACTGTGCGGGCCAATGCATGTACTATTAGTATATCTTTTGTTTAAGGACTCTGGTACTGTTTAGTACTGTTTAGTACTGTTTAGTACTGTTGTGAACTGTTGTGAACTGTTGTGTGCTGTTTAGTCCTGTTTCGTACTGTTTTGTACT